GCGTTGAGGCAGGGTGGTACGCGATTGCCAAGTAAGCGTACCAGTGGGAAAAAAGGGTCGCATTATCTAGGCCGACATTTATTTCAAAATATTTGAGGGCGATTGGAAAGGGGTGCACCACCACCCCTTTGGGCAAGCCACATTTTATGTGGAAGGCGGTCAGTCGGTATCAAACACGTGATTGGCGGGGCGCCGTCGATCTCCTCAGAGAAGGCAGGAGAGGGAGGGTTGGCAGTGACGGCGTAGGGAAAACTGTGATCCCCTTCACCCCTCACTAACCTCGGCTCGTTTGTGACTCCTGCAGCCCCATCATCGTGGCACTAGATGTCGCCTTCCATCCAGTCAGGAGCGGAAGAAAAGGGGAAGATGAGCAATGCCGTTTTCCACTACTGAACTGCTAAATATGAGGGATTGCTTTATGCTGAAGGCGTTTAATGGAACGGTCTGAAAACCACTATTTGCATTTTTATTTATTTTTATTTATTTTTTTTATTTTTTGAGGCAGTTCTAATGTTTGTGGGCTTTAATTCTCCCTGTTTTGAAATAATTGGTTATTGCAGGGGCACGTGGCTCGTCACACCCATAGGCGGAGTTTGGCGATCCTCATGTTTTCAACTGAATGAAACCGAGCCTGTCAAATGGTGAAACAATGTGCCCGCGAATTTTCCGCCTGCATTCTTCGATTCAGGCAATGAAGAGCGGGTTTTCGTAAAATAAGGATTCTCAAAATGGGATATTTGTCAGTGTTTACCAAATAATAACCTTCTCTTCGCAGCGTCTTCTTGTTCAGCTACTCAAGAACGTGAGACTGTGGGAAGGAAGCCACTGTTGTGACGGTGAATAGAGGCGACGCGGACGGCTAAGATAGGCAAACATTTTTGTTGGTCAATGTGGAAAGCCACTTGCTTTGAGCCCTTATAGGCCGCACCAGAGCAGTCAAATAATAACCACACAAAGCCGAGGACACCATGCTTGAAGGTAAATGCAAATGTGAAACTGTGCAAACGCAACATCACACAGGCGTGGAGGCCAACCTGTACGTCGGACACGAAGGACGAAAGTTGAAGTTTGCTCTCCGGTATGCTGGAGTGCAGTTTGAAGGTAACCTGACCAACGTACTTTGGTGGTAAAGAAAAAATAGCAAGTGGCGGTGCGGTATCCAAGTCGAGCATATCACCTCCCTTCGACATGATCATGCGTGGAAGCGATTTGTGTCAAGGAGATTATACGTGAGTCCACTGAAGACA